AGAACGTGGAGAAGGGAGGATGACAAAGAGATCTGGGGGTAAGGTGAAGAGAGTTGGCCAAACTGCTTGGTCGCTTGACTATGGTAATGACTAGAAGACTCCATGCATTGCCATAGCTCACAAAATTGATGCCCAGTGCAACTGCAACCACAGCACCCTTTTGAATGCAAAGTAGTTAACTAATTCTGATTAAAACAAACCACCAAAATTAATATAGTCATTTTGATACATTGATTTCTAAAATAAATCTAAGGCCCCAAGTGCTATTTCATATCTTAATTAATAAATAAGCTATGTATTTAAAAAATAAGTAGCCATCTGAACAATTAACCAAGTTATCTATTTGGAAATAAAGTAGATTGTATTAAGTAGTGTGACCAAGGAGAAAATGAAAGTGTTTTCATTTTTACTAGATTACTAACGATGACAGATACAACTTCGTCCCTAAAAATCCAGTCATGTGACTCTGCAGATAATCTCAAGAACATACTGTTATTTTCAATAGGTTAAAGAAAGCTAAAAATATCTGCCACTGCTTCCCATGACTTCCGTATCATCTCAAAGTATCTGTAAAAGATTTTATAAGACTCTCTCTGGATTTTCATCAAGATTGCTACCGTAACTGAGGAGCTCTTTTGGTATAGAACTGTGTGCCTATTTTGGGAGGAAAAACAAAAAACAAAAAATATTTTACAACAATTTCTTACTCATTGCTATTTATAAAACAGATGAAACACCAAAGAAATTATGTTAAATAAGAAATAGACTTCTGGTCAGTTCAGTGTGTTTCTGAACATGCCAATCAAGTTAGTATTGAGCCTTCCTTTACCTATCACTTAGTGACCCTGACCTAACAGGATGTGAAGCCTGAGAAGCAGAAGACAGGAAAGAAGCACGAGGCCTGCTCAAGCCACACATACTATCCTCTGCCCCTCAGCCAGGCCCTGATGGGCTACTGTCTTCAGCACCTCGGCTTCCTCATCGTCCCCCACCCTCCGACCACCTGACCACATTTAGTCCTTAAAGCCCTTTAGAAAGAGCACAAGAGAGCAAGGACAGACCTCTTACGGCCCTTCCCCTGAGCTCTGCTTAAGCATAAGACTTGTGTTATTTCTTAACAAAAGTGAAATACAATTTCTGCCATTCAAAGGTACCTATGCATTATTCGCTGTTATGCAATCTGATATTAAATTAAGAGACTTCTTTATTCTATTAAAAATATTATCTTTATGCTGTATAATATGTCTTTAGAAAACACAACACTAAATTCCTAAAATCCTGATGCTCCAAGAAACCAATTCATGGAGAAACAGCCACTTACCTATCTAGAGTGGCCTTTCTCTCTATACCGCAGGCACAGTCAACTTTTAACACTACTTCCATCATTTTCAAGAACGACTAAGAAAAAAATAAGTTAGCCGGGAGGTGGTGGCGCACGCCTTTAATCCCAGCACTCGGGAGGCAGAGGCAGGTGGATCTCTGTGAGTTCAAGGCCAGCCTGGTCTACAAATCGAGTTCCAAGAAAGGCGCAAAGCTACACGGAGAAATCCCGTCTCGGGGGAAAAAACAAACAAACAAAAAAAAAGTTGAAAACAAAGACTAGTAAGGGGAATCTGTCAGGTTATCTTACCTGGTACAAGACACTATGATTGGTAAATCTAAAACCACCTGTTTCAGAAAGTAACAGAACTTAGATAAACACAAACTTCCTTATCATTCCTGTAGCACCTACTACGATCCTGGCACTGTGTATCTAGGGGCGTGGTGGTGAATAAAAAGCTAACTGGCTTCATGAAAATGAAGAAAAACGAAAACATGACTGTGAAACTCAGAATTCAGTATAAGCAGCATCTCCGTTTCCCAACCAGTGATTTCTTCACGACTCATCCTGTGTTTCTACAGCCTCCCATGGAGAAGAGTGCCAAGGACTCAATCCCAAGTTCACCTCACAGACGGGCAAGCCAATCTTGTCTTGGCTTCCACAACAATGAAACGGAACACCACTGCTGCTATCCATCAGGGTTCCCTATGAATCTCAATGTGGATACTGATAAATTCTAATGTGAAAACAAGCCCTTGAAACCCTTGGGAGGAAAAGGTTGTTAAAATTAAGTAAGACGGTATCTTCTCTGAAATTTTCACACAAAATTTTATTAATATCACCATGCAAAATCACCACAAATATTTGTCAACCAATAAAAACAGAAATCTCACAAGGCTCTGCAAATAGGATCAATCAATACTCATATATACTTGAAAACAAACTACATACTAGAAGGAAAGACATCATCACTAAAAGCTACACAGGCAACAGAAAGACACTACTTTTCCTGGTTTAAAAGTTGGCTGCACGGAGGGTGCACTTGAAGCCCTTGCAGGGGCCTCCCACATATAAACTGAGCAAGCCCATGACAAGGCCGAGGGCAGTTTCACAGCTGCCTCTCACAGCAGCCAGTGGTGAGTTTCACTGGATGGATGCAAGGTTGCTAACACACAGAGACTCTCACCGTACTCAAGGCTTTCTGACTGTTCCCCCCGCCCCCCTCCGCACGTTCTGACCTCTCTCCTAAGGTCACCAGCCTCGAGAAGAATGGGTGCTGCACTACTAATGTGCTGTGCTACTCACTGTCCTGTCCTAAAACCCCCTTCATTTCCCAAAAGCAACAGTCCATATTTGCTCCAAATTTAAGCAAGCCAAATGGGTTAATGTGGCCCAAGGCTCTGCTTTCCTTAGTTTACCAACTTTCTTTTTCTACTTCATGTCACAAGAAATATTTTTATGTTGCAAACTAAACTGTAATATTTGAAGGAAACCACCACAAACTCTTAATGTCACTCCTTGAAATTTAAAATTCACAAAACAGCTGGTGGCTTTCTAAATAGCACCATGAAAAAACAAACAAACAAACAAACAAACAACCCAGCAAAACCATTCCAAAGGAACTTGCTGACTGGAGGCCTGCCTACGGCAGCCAGGAATTAAATTGTGCGGGAACTGTAATCTCCCAGAGAGCTTTTGAGCCTAAGAAAGAGGAAATCTGCGTTTGTGATCCCTTTCTCCGAGTAATTGAAGGAGGGGGTATTTTATATCCTACAAATATGATCGCAGGCTACACAATTACAATGTCGATTAGAAGAAACCTATTAAATGTATGTTCATTGTCCGGGGTCTTAAGAAAATATTTTCACATGATCCCTGTCTTTAAAATACAATAGCAACCTTACAGGGAGTGTGCCACCAGGCTAAGCTGCTGCTGGAAAGCATGTCCCTTTCCAGGCAGGTACAAGGCCCATTTAATTCCAAGTCAATCCGGAGAGAGGTGACAGCCCAAGTTGCTCCGAGGATGTCAGAGCACAGCTCTCGTGCACACTCCGGATCACCTCTCCATTCTTCCCCAATGCCGTGGGTTTCCACTCCCTGCTCCAGCACTGCAAACACCCAAACACCCCGGCTTCCCCTTCTTCGCAGCAGGCTCACTCTGCATCGCCTCCTTCCGCCACCGCTTCCCCGGGGCGGGGAAACCGAGCCCAAGGACGCGCGCGGGTCTCCTACCTACCTTGATGATGCTGCTCCGGCGGGGCAGGCCGCCCGGCTTGCTGTCCTTGGGGACAGGAGCGGGGGCCGGGCTAGGGGTCCGCGCGAGCGCCACGCCTCGAGGTGCCCTGGCAGGGCTGGCCCGGGCTTCGTCGGCGGACACGCCGAGGCTGCAGTCTCCGTTGGAA